AACAAATTCAATCAATCTCGGTGCCTGTTTTAATTATATTACATTCTCTCTGGTTTATTTGCCCTGGACGTTCTGCTGCTTCGTGCGCTGCGTGTGAATTCAGTGTCAACCATGAATCTATAATAAAACCTATTTTTATTATAGTTCTATGCTTTCAACTGAACAAAGGACAGTTTACTGCTGCTTCCTGTTTCTCATCATGGAGTTCAACAATGACTTTCTAAGACATGAAATTGTTTGTCCACAAAACTGCAACCAATTTTTCAGTTAAGTCCTTCTAGCAGCACAACTTCCGGGGGAAATAAACCACCACATAGAACAAAATATCAACATTGAAATAGGCACTGAGACTATTTTTTAATTTGTCCAATTTGAAATATTTAATTTAATGTAATTAAATATTGGAAACAGAGGTCGAAATAAGTATTTTTACTAATAATGAAATAATAAGTATAATAATAATGAAATAACAAACTGTCTTCCCATTTTATTGCTTTTCGTTCTTAATTGAAATTTAAAAGAACAAATGGTACACGAACCCTTGATTTATGCTGTAGTATTGTTTTCTCATCGAAAACAGACCCACAAACCACCCATATTTGGTCTAAGTTCATCTCTCAAAATAAAATCACTCCTTGTGATGCCATGTAGTAATATAGGAAGAGCTCCATTGTGGTTTTTAAACTCTATAGAAACATTTAGGTAATTTCAGCCTTGGACTTTATCAAAAAAAAAAAAAAAAAGAAAGAAAGAAAACTATGACTAAACGTAGCTCTTAACTTTAAAATTACCGCTACATGACATAACAAGGTGGAACAGAGCATTTGGAGCTTTGGAGATGTAGACAGACTAATAATAAAAAAGGGTTACTTAATGTGTGAATTAAAATAAAACAGAAGTCTGACTATGTTTTTGAGGAGGTAACAACATTCTAACATGACTTCAAGCTCACGAGAGTCAGTTTTGTGTAATATAAGACCTTTAATCTCTGCAAAATAAAAATGTTGCACCATAAATCAAGACTGAAAATGAATTGGAGATTAATTTGTATCAATATTGCCTACTCATAGTTTATGTTGCTGTTTTAGTACAGACCTTTCTGGTGCTAAGGGGTTTTCCAAAGAGAAGAGCTCAGAGTGAAGCTGGTGTAAAGTTTCTGCTCTAAATAAAGACTACTCCATCTGTGAAACTGCCGGCTGATCAGGGACATGTGAATATAACTGGGAATTACAACCCACACATTTACAATAGTGTATAGAATAGAGTAATAAAGATAGGAGGGTCAAAAAATAAGAGAGAGAAAAGAGTTGAGAATAACCTGACATTTTGCAAACAATATTACGGCTATTCGATAATAGAAAAATCCTAGATAAATCCTAGAAATAATTTTGCTCATATTAGAAATCACAATTATTTAAAATCTCAAAATGTACCTATATTGAAAGTACAGACCTAATTTTATTAATAATTAGGGATACACCAATCCATCTTTTTCCATTTTGATACAGATACTATGGAGACTGAAAATATGATTCATTTCCTTAACAATTATCCAAATGCGTCTTGTATTTTTTTCGAAGCTGTTCTGTTGTTTTTTTACGAGATAAATAACAGTTACAAGTTCAATATTGCAACATTAGTCAGTAAATTGTCTTTTTACACCAATTTACAGACATCATCATTATCAATCAAAATGTTTCCATTAATTGGTGCCAATATCCAGTACCAATATCACATTGATGCACCCCTATAAATAATATTTAGTTTAAAAGGCAGCAGAAGAGTGTTTTAGCATTTACATAATCTACCACAGCTGATTGTACACACATTTTTAATTTCCTCATTTTGTTAAATCTTCATTTTAGAGTCTGTCAAATTCTTGTCTCCGTAAACATGTTATTGCTTCCTAGAATGTTCCACAGTATGACATTAAACTTATCCCTCTTGCATTTATTCAAAAACAGGTGCTTTTATCGCAAACAAAAATTTTTGTGTGAGTGGAGTGGCTGTAACTTGGCCAGATAGCGTCAGCTGCTCGCATTCATAGAGATAGACAAGCTTAATGCCATACTATGAAACATTCCAGGCAAGACAATAACATTCCCACATGTGGAGACAAGCAGCTGTTGAACAAGAAAAGTTACATATTGCATATTTAATAGTCTGTATAATGATATGGGTCTAGAGATCGACCGACATTGTTTTATCATAGCTGATGCTGATATTGATTGTTTAGAATCCAGAGCAACTGATGGCCAATAAGCTCTGCTGATATTTTTGGAACCGATATATAGGGACGACTTTTTTTTCCCCTCACGTTATGTCATTGAAATTTACTACACACTGATCCACACCACTTTTTTAACCGTAAACTTAGCTGATATGCTAAAATATTCAAATATACAAATATCGGCACTATGCTTGATGACATATTCTAATTTTCCCTTCTGAACTCTGTGAGAAGAGGTGACCAAAGTGAGCGGTTTGGTATTATTTGAACAGGGCGGAAATAACTTCATTTGCATCACTGCTTTTGTTTTTCATTTGAATTTTCATTTGCAAGACATTTGAATGGAACCCCAGCTATAGTCAAACTAGAAAATTTAATGGATTTTCCACTGTTTTTATGCACTGAGGAGTAAAATGGGTTAGAATTGGTTTAGTGCCTGGTTTAGTGCCTGGTTTAGTGCCTGTGGGTTTAGTCCGTGGTTTAGTCCGTGGTTTAGTCCGTGGTTTAGTCCGTGGTTTAGTCCGTGGTTTAGTCCGTGGTTTAGTCCGTGGTTTAGTCCGTGGTTTAGTCCGTGGTTTGGTTTCTGGTTTGGTCCCTGCTTCAGTCACGCTTTTTAATCCTGGTCTAGTCCTGGTTTAGAATTGGTTTAGACCTCTTTTAGTGCCTGATTAAGACTCAAACATCTGTCCTGTTATATAGTTTCAAACAGCTGACCAAGTACAGAGTTAAGTCCCATGTTAACCAATTGTTTAGACTTGGCTGAGCATTTGGTTTAAACTGGATTTTGTACTTGGTCCCTTGGTTTTGTCTTTGTTTTGGCCTGTTTTAATCACACATTTAGACCTGGTTCAGGCCTGGTTTATTCCTAATTTTACTTCCTTTTTGCTTCTGGTTATGTTTATGTCTCAATCCTTGTTTAAACAAGTTTTGACTGATAGAAAGAGCAAACATTTATGTTTACATATATATTTATTGTGCATGTGTTTTAATAAAGTAAATGCTAATTATGGGCAGTTTTATGTTGTTTTTTTCATATGAATGAGTAGCACTGTTTGCATTTAAACCTTAGTACAATATGTATGTATTTCTTCTGTTATTTGTATAGTAAATATACTGATGCCAAAGTAGATAAAGGATATTATGGTCTGTTTTTAGTGTCTTTCCATTACAACTATGTTTTATTATATTCTAAGCAATTCCTAAATCTAAACTCAGAGTTTTTACTACAAAATGTAGCTATTTTATTGTTTTAAAACACAATGCATTCGCCTCAACTGCAGAAAAACATAGCGTTTGCATTGTCTTGTATTCGTGGTATTTACATCAGTTTCTAATTACTGGCAAAAACTAGAGACTGATATTAAGCAAAAGACTCTATTCGTTTTATTTAAGTTTCTACAAGCAAGAAAATATAATGCATATGTTTTAAAATGGAAAAGACACCTAAACTTCAAGAGTGGAATCTACCATTAAAATGTATTGAGGGTTAGCCGCTGTTAGCCCCACTGCTAACGAGTTTAAGTTTATTAAAAGTAGGATTATAGTACTAAGAGGTGTGTTTTTCAGTGCGGGGATTACAAGGGATGTTTGGCTTACCTTGGAGCGGGATAAAGCGTGTTAGATCCGTGTTAGATCCGCGTTAGGAGCGGGCATTTCCCGCAAGAGCCGCAGGAACATGTGTCGGTGTGTTGGAGACGTGTCTGTTAGCATCTGTTAGCATCTGTTAGCTCGGAGTTAGCTCCGCTGTTAGCCACACTCTGTTAGCTGAGAGGTGGAACAGTCGCAGGTTCATTTCATTGGATTATCATATTATTTGTGTATTTCAGATAAACACCCAGTTCACCTGTAAGGATTATTATAAAGTCTTGGCAACTTTTTGCTCAATTTTAGCTAGTCCTCCTGACGCATTTGACTGCATTTTTCAGTTCATAAAGTTTGAAGCCACTACTCACCTATATTTCTTATATAATAAATGGCACCAATTCAGTAAGCCTCATTAAAATGCAAAAAAAAAAAAAAAAAAGTTCTACTTGGGCAAATATTTTTTCATATTTAAATTTGTTTGTTTCCCATTACATTTTAAATTATGTATTAAAGGTGCACTATATAACTTTTCTGGTGGAGGAATATAAAAATTGCTTTGCCTGGAAGGTTCCACAATATGGTATTAAACTGTTCTGACTATGACAAGCAAGTGGCAGAACAAGGCCTAGTTACAGTTCAACAGTACATTTCCAATCTTGATGATGGAATACTTTTTTTTCTGTGATTTTTTATTTTTTTTTAGCAATAAATATACCTGTAATGGAATAATGTATTGAATACTGAGGAACACCAAAGCAATAACATCTCCTTGGAGACCATCACTAGAAAAGTTACATAGAGCACCTTTAACTAAAATATTTACGAGTTTTGGTTGAATACATTTGAATGAATTTGATGTCGACTAATACTAGCATAAGAATATATAAATAACATTGAATAAAGAAAAAATAAAGGCAAATTAACTTCTCTGGTGGAAGATCAACCACCTGCTGGTGTCATCGTCATGGAGCTATTGCTTTGCCTGGAATGTTTCATAGTTTGCCAGTCTCCATGGAGGTTTAAAATGAAAAAAACCTGCATATGAATAAATGCAAAACAGGTAAAAAAATGACGTACTGCACAACATAATTTCCATGGAAATAAGCAGGTGACTGACCCTACACTAGAAAGTTACATAGTTAGCAAGTTAAATTTTCTCAAGTTTTCACAAACAAGAGCCCAGTCGTTGATAGAAAATTTGACTTTTAATGCAACATTTTGTGAAGTACAGTTTTGGGATGAGGACTCCACTGGACAGACTGACACATGTGGGTTAGAAGTGTGAGCCATGGTACAGAATATACAGGCCTTTATCATGAATATCAGGTTAATATCGTAAAAATAAACAGTGGAAGATAGAGCTGTATTTTAAATTGATGCACATTAAACGTTATATTTCTGTCATTTATTTTGTTACAGTACCAAAAACAAAGTTGAAAATCTGTGTTGCAAAGATATTTTTTAATTTTCAGGTGGTGATACTATAGGGAAGCCCAATTTAGTTCATTTTTTCCAATTTTTCATTCATTTGGACAAAATTCTCCCCAAAATGGTTTACAATCGGCACAAGAATAAGGTTGAGTCTCACGGCAACATTGAAATAGAACATTCTTAACAGTATTTCATCAATGTTTTCATGTTTAGAGGTCGCATTTGCATACAAGTGCTGTTCCTATGTCTTGCAAATTGAAGTTTTATGCAGTAGTCATGTTTTTGTAATAAGAATTCCATAATTTGACAATGAAAATGGTGAAGCTTTGAGAGTTTAAGAAGCTATTTTTTCACATTTCCTCAGTATATCCAGTATCCAGTATATACTTGTAATCACATGCAACTTCTGTCTTCAGTTTAATTTAATGGCAACTTTAAACAAGACTTTTCTAATAAATGACCATTTTCAAATCAAGATTACACATTTTCTTTACATTTTAAAACAATCTTATAGTTAGATCTATAAGTCTGCATATTTCAATGGAAGCACAATTGAACAAAAACGCTATCTAAAGTCTGCCATTTAAATATTTCACGACTTCATTTATTTATGATCTTTATTTTCGCAAAAACAAAACTACTGCTGTTGAAAATCTTCCCCGAATCATGATGTGTGAGACCAGACCTAATTTTGTCGCTTAGTTCCCTAGTTTTTGTACAAAGACGAGACATCTATCCATTCATGCAGAGAGTGGGGTTAGAGGGTGGAGAGGGCAGCGGAGGAGGAGAGCTTGTCCATATGTTATTCCCATGTTTTTCATATTTTGGTGAAGTTTTGCGTTGTTTTTTTCTAAGCGTTTTGCATCTCTTTTCCGATCTTGTAGCTCAGGATCTTGTTCCAGTCGATCTTGGTGCGCGTCACAGGGAGCTGGCGGCGTAAGGCTTTGAAGGTGGTGTCCGACATCGTCTGGTAGTTCTCGTTGATGGCCGTCTGGAAGAACGCAAGACAAAAAAAATAATTGGTAATATCATTGTTATATTTTGGACATTTTAATATTGATCTGTGATGTCTTAAAGGTCCTATTACACAGAATTGACTCTTGTAAGCTTTAAGTCATGTTAGAATGTTGTTACCTCCTTAAAAGTATACTTGGAGTTGTTTTGTTTCATTCACACATATCTGAGTAACTATTTTTAGTCTGTCTGCATCCAAAAGCTCAAAATGCTCTGTTCTACCTTGTGATGTCATGAAGCGGTAGTTTTCAAGTTAACAGCTCACTTTTAGCTTTTGTTCAGTGGAGATTGGGCAATTTCAGTCCTGGAATTGCCAAATTATTCCACTGAAAGTGTATTGCAGGGATCTCCAATCTGTAGCTCGGTAACTACCAGTAGCTCTCCACCCCCTTCCCCCTTCCAAACACAGTGGAGCACTACCTGTATTATCACATGAAATTACAAGTGTTTTCAGTTTGAGAAGAACTCATCCTAAATATGCAGTGTATGTGTTAAAGATGTGTGAAGAAACAAAATATAACTCCAGGTATGTGATGAGAAAACATTATAACATAGATCAGAATATGGGTCCTTTAAGTAACAAGTCCAAGTATAAAAGATCAAAACTGGAGAGCCAAGTACAGAGCGGTGAACACGGGGGTTGAGTAGAGCAGTGACGTCTTGAATATCAAGATTACTCAAACATGCTTGAATAACTCACTCTAAATACAACTTCAAGAGGGAAAATAAGAAGATGAAAATTCTGAAAGGTCCTTAAAATTATGGCAGGCGTCCAGTACAGTGTGTTATGAATCTTAAATTTGTTCACACGTCATCTTGAGCACATATACATAGATTTTTGTATGAGACTTACGGGGCTTTGTATGCATGCATGACTCAGATGACTAAAAAATGTATGTCATTCCATTTTACTTTATTCAGTACATTTCCAACTATTAATACATTTTTCCAAGCAACACTATCTACCAACAGGGTGGGAAAACTACAGTAAATGTGCCATCTGCCTTTGGAGGTATTTACAAAAACATATGAGATAAAAAGCATGAGAGTCTGGTACAAACCTGGTACTCATGCTCTGCGTTCTTCATTAACTCCACAAAGAATTCTGCAGTGTTTGCCTCCTTCTGTAAAGGATTAGAGACAAAATTTCATGAGATTATGAATTAAACTATTCAGACGCAGTAGCTCAAAAATTATACATATGATACAAAGCTTAAGAAAATAAGTATATTATTACAATTTTACATAAAGATAGTACGTCGTTATTATAAAAGGTCAAGAGTAAAAACAAAAATAAATATCGTAATAAGATTATCAGAGAAAAAAATTGATGTATCAGACTAAGTAAATATAAAAAACATTACTTAACTAAAAAGAGCAAATTGGATAGTATTAAAAATAAAATCTAAATTTAAATAAAAATATATATATAATATTATATATATATAATTAAAACATGTCTAAGTACCAAAAGTAAATATTACTTTTTGGGATTGGGAATAATTTTGACGCATAACTCAAAAAACCCCAAAAATGTATAGTATAAAGTAATATAAGTTTAAAAATATTTTTTAAATTATATTATTAAAAAAATGTATAGACAGACAATATTTGATCATAAAAAATAAAGAGTAGAAAGAGTAAAAAATGTATCTGGGTCCCAACATATAGGTTCGTATGAGACTTAAAAAATACAGTATTGGCATTACTTGATTTAAAAAAGAAACTGGATGGTATTATTAAATCATGAAAGATAATATGGGCAGATCTGTGGAGAGGCAACCCCCACTAGCACATTTATTTAGTTTCGTTTTTATCATTTAGTTTTAATTTAGTTTAGTTAGAAATTCCCACTCACAGAGACGTTCATGCTCTCCATCACTTCTTTGTGGCTCACCAGCTGCACGTTTCCATCCTCATAATAATGAACCTGGAACAGAAACACAACATCTCTCAAAAAATATTCACAGAGTTCCTGCTTCTGTCTGCTCTTGCACACTCCCCCGAGTACTAGCCCCTGGTTCTAGGCCCCCGGTTCAGTATTCATCTTGTCAACTAAAATATTTATGTGGTAGTTTTTGTCTGAGTCATGCTTTTGCTGAGTACAACTAATCTATATCTATACCGATCGATAGACAGACAGACAGAGAAAGACAGAGATTGAGAGAAATATTAAAGGTGTACTGTGAAACTTTTCTGGTGGAGGGTCTGCTACCTACTTGTCTCCATGGAGATGTTATCTAACATTTATTCATGTGTTTCTATTGCGCAAAGATACAATAATTACTCCTCCACAGATCTGAAATAGTACTGCTATAACCTGCCTGTGACAGACAGGTTTAATCTATACTGTGGAACATTCTAGACAAAGCAATAACATTTCCATGGAGATAAGTAGGTGGAGGACCCTCCACCAGAAATGTTACGCAATGTACCTTTAATGACCAAAACCATGATCTGATTACATACATTTTTGTTGACTGAAGCTAAAAGATATTTTTGTCAGCTAAATATTTTCTGGTTGACTAAAACTAGCTAAGGTCAATTAAAATGCAATCAATCAATGAACCTGCCCAGGGACTACAGGTGGAAATTAGCACTGGTGCTACAACCTGATACAATGCATCTCTCCTGTTAAGGTTCATGTAAAAATTGTGTGCTGTCCCTGTCTCAATAAATAAATAAATAAACTACGATGATATAGTCAACTAATTCAAATGTAATTATGATAAATATTTACCAGAATTAGAAAAACATGAAACCCTGTCATAGGTATTTTAATTTTAGGTCAGTGGATGGTTTAGTGCAGGGGTGCTCACACTTTTTCAGCATGCGAGCTAATTACAAAATGACCAAGTCATAATGATCTACCTAATACAAAGCCAAGCAAACTGCACTGAAACACTCTGTGCCCCTTTTTTGGACCCTCACCCACAGTTTGAGAACCCCTTCTTTAAGAGAACTTCCTCTGGCACTTTACACAAAACTGTGAAAAAGTGAAGGAAGATTTTTAAACCTGTTTTTTAAAGTTCCAAACTAGAGTTGCATTCTTTTCTGGTTTTGCAGTGATATTTACCAGCCTCTGCACGTTTACCAAACCAAACGCACATCGTGACAAACACAGATGCATTTGTGCACTTTTGTTAGACAAACTTCAGCCAAATCTGGCAGTAGGTCTGTTCTGTAGATCCGCTCTATGCTGTAGACCTGCTTTGTGCCAACACTGGAACACAAATTTAGACTCGTTTTTGCTTCACGTTTGGTCTTGCTCTTCTAATCAGCCGCACTGTGGGAGGGGCTTGTGTTCGCTGTACGCAGGAAGGAGCGAGAGCGTGAAAAGGCGAGGGGCGGCGTGCTGACGTGAGGCAGATGGACAGGTAGGATGTTTAGGAAGTTTAACCTGCCCTGTGATACACGCTGTTGCAGACGAGCCGTGCACAGGGAGCGTGTGTATTTGTGATGTGCCGTAGAGTCTCTGCGGGCTGCACTGAGACGCCCCACACGCTACTGCACCCGGTACAAGTTTATTGCCAAAAGCAGCGGCTGTAATGAAATATGATCGCACTTGTTGAGTGTCAGACGTTGAGTGAGAGACAAGACCGAGTCGCGAGTCCGAGACGAGACACGATCTACCCACACGACCTTGGCGATCAACTGGTAGATCGCGATCGACGTATTGAGCACCCCTGGTTTAGTCTATGGCTTTGTTCTTATTTTCACACTTGAATCTAGTCCCTGGGTCTAGCCCCCAGTCTCTGTCCCGAAATTCTAGTGTCTCTGGTATAGTCCCCAGTTCTTTCACCTTTTTAGTTCGTACCTGTATTTTCATGATACCGGCCACCTGGGTGACCGGTTGGGAGACGGTGAACTTCCACTCTGACCTCCAACGACCATTCCTGGAAACAACAAACAACCAAAAAAAAAACAAAACATAAAATTCATTATGTTTCAAATACATCTTCTCAGCTCCTTTGACCCTCTCCTCTGCTCCACTTGCCCATATTCTGTACCATATATTCACTCTTTTTCCTATTGGACAATATACAAAACTGACATGCCTCGAATGCAGCTATTTTAGCACGATCTTGTAGCATCTAATGTTACTGCTCACCTTTGCTCCTGCTGGTATAATAATCCTCTAAAAGCAGTAGTAATCAGGATTGGAGCTGCTCTGATCTGATTAGATTAGACCAGATTATCATCAGCTAACAGCACTAGGACTGGCTAAAGACTTCACAGTTACAAGTCTGCTTAAAGAATAGTCAGTCAAAGATAATCTAAGTGCCCAATAGTAGAAGTTACAATCAGAGATTAAAAAGAAGTAGTAGTATTTATGTACTGTCAAAATCATTTCAGCTTGAACTCACCAGAAGTTTTTTGGTTGAAATTGATGGCACTCGATGCAGACAATGATGGTTTGCTGCCCGTCAATGTTTTTCCCATAAATCTGAAAGGTAAGGAAAGAGACAAAGAGTTGTATTAGTAAAAATTATATCCATTTTAAATTATTTGACTTTAAATTGCATTTGTCTCATCCTTCACTGTCTGTGGGTTAAACTTTTAAGGTGCAGTGGACCAGATTTGAGAATCACGGTGAAGAGTACCTAGCTGGAGGATTACCAACAAGTTTACTTTTCCACAGTAACAGTGATGGTCAGTTCAATATCAGAATATTGAAATAGGCTGACAAGGTTTTAATAAGTAAATTATCATGAAAAATGTATCTCAAACGATTTGTTTATGAATGAAATTTTTATAATAAAAAAATACATAAATATATTTTTTATCTTATTTTATCAACACATTTAATCTTTTGATTGGTTTCTATATGCCAAGGTAAAATTCTTTATAATAAAAGGAGTGAGTACATATAATACTGAAGTCACTGGCATCAACTGATAATGAAATACTTTCAGGAATTGAAACAAAAATCTCTGGTAGATCAGAAGTCTAACCCACAACCTCCTTACTGAGAGGAAGTAGTGGGTTGCCACAGTAACAGAGCGGGAACATGCACACTTGGGTCACTTACGGTGCAGACTCCGTTGGGGTAGTGATCCTTGACGTAGGCCCTCACAGCAGAGTCCACAGCACTTCTCCAGCTCTCGATGGAGGAGTCGAGCTCCTGGGGTCGGGGGTCACTGGCCTCTTTGCGCAGGTGGTCGAACTTAAACGAAATCTTGTTTTTGGGATCCAACACACGACCGTTGCCCAGGTCTCCATGTTCTGTGATTAAGACCTACAAAAAATGTACGAGGAAATTTTGATTATGAAACTGAAAATATGGTTGACATGCAATTAGATTAAGTTTAAGATTAAAACTAGGGTTGAAATAGACTAAAAACATGTCTTGCTGTACGATTAGTCGGCTAAAAAGGTGGCGTGACAAAAGCTCTCACAACTATTATGTGTATCTATGTATCTGACCCAAACTGCACTCACAAGACTACACTTGCACGGGGGTTCATGCAAAAACAATTATTTATGCAGAAAAAAATACTAGAAAACAATGTATTTATATAAAAAAAAAACTTGTGAATCATGAATTTAATCTGCCTTTACGTATAAATACCAAAAAATACCAAATCTTCAGCTCACTCACTTCTCCTTTCTGCTGTTGTCCCATATAAATCTTTATCTAAATAAAATAAGTAGAAAGTACTCAACTTCCTACCCAACTTAGTATGAAATTAATACACAGAAAGTGTATTGTAGGAAGTACTTTGTGAAACGAATCCGAAAGCTACAGGAATATACAAAAAATATGTATGTGTGGTAACCCTTGAAAGAGCCCTGTGAATCACTATGACTCCTTCTAAAGCTCTATAAATATGCACATATATAAACAAGAAAAACACCAGTTTGTGAGAGCTTTAGGAACAAGTTAGATTTAAATACAGACTTCCTCATCCCACATGCGTAATGCTATTGTGCGTGAAGATGAACTGGAGCCAGCCGGAATAAAAACACGACTCCACCAGGTCCATTTAAAACTTTATAACATCCTTTGCACACGTGTTTAAATTTTGCATATTTTGTATATCTGTTAAAGGGGAAGATCTCTGAAATACTTGTACAGAAGAAGAACGTACATTGTGTACTACTCTTTTCCACTTTAAAAAGAAGCTTAAATGTCTAACTCTGGGCAGATACATGAATTTTGTTTGCGCTGTAGTACATCTCTTACTGTACTGTTTCCTTTTGCCATTCTCTATAAATATGAACTGGTTTCAAGATGCTTTGATACACAGGTAAAAAGCGTAGGCCTAATAATCTTAAAGGTCCTGTATTACGCAAAATTGACTCTTGTGAGCTTTAAGTCATGTTATAATGCTGTTACCTCATTAACAAAACATACCTGGACTTATGTTTTGTTTCATTTACATGTTTGCCAAACCCTTATGATGTCATGTCATGATAGTTTAACTTAACAGCTACCTTTTGCTTTTACTACAGTAGACATGGACAATTCCAGGACTGCAATTATCCAAATGTGAAGGTGTGAAGACGTGTGGACTTTAAAAACAGAGTGGAGCACTTCCTGTATTACCACAGACATCACAAGGTGGAACAGTGTTTTATGTTTGAGAGATGAAGTAAATATGCAGGGTTTGTGTGTTTAACGCATGTGACTGAAACAAAACAACTTCAGGTATGTTTGTGATGAGGAAGCAAAATCATAGCATAGATCAGAAAATGGCCTAATATGGGCTTAAAGTATATTAAGTCTATACTGTAATTATCGTGCCAGGCCTACCCAGTCTACATTGTTGGCCTAAAACCAGGACTAAAGCAGCATTATAAAAGCAGAGCTGCATTTGTTGTGTTGCAGAGGGAGGAGCAGTGATGATGACATTCTCACTCAAACTAATGCAACTGTTACTCAGCTCTGACACAGGACTACAGGGACCGAGGCCTGGAAACAAACCCCTATATTAAACTATGACTAGGAATTTCCAAAAAGGCGGCTCAGGGGTCAAACGTGGCCACTGAAAACGACATTACAGAGCCGTTCAAACAGAAAAGATTGAAGAGTGATGTCTCTACCTGTTCGTCGTATCCCTCGATCTTCACTGGAGTGAACTGGTCCAGGTTATACTGTGCAAACGCACTAAGGAGAAAGAAGGCAGAATCAGAGCATTGTACACACAGAATAGAACTGTTTCCTTTTGTGCTGGTTATTGCTGTTAAGAGAAAATTCTGAATATTTTTGATCTCTTCAATAAAAATTCTAATCTCTACTTACTGTGCTGCACCTTCCCTGAGCAGATTGTCATTGTTGAGCAGCAATCGCACATCTGAAAAAAACAAAACAAAACAAAAAAATATTAGTACAGCTACAACAAGATTGTCTATCATAAAGGTGAATACATTTATTTTAGGTTTTAGCCTTTATTTTCATTGTGAATGTTCCAAAATGAAAATGTTTGGATTTCCCCACTATTGCTACAGTCATTTGTCTGGCAGTAATGGTCATGGTTCTGTTATTCGTCCATATGATTTGATTAAAAACTACAGCAACATTTTTGAAACTTTTATGATTGTGTAAACCAGGGGTGTCCAAACTATGGCCTAGGGGTTAAATGTGGCCCTTACTCTGGGAAATACTTTTTACTGCCAGTTTTAAATCATTAAGTTCTACCACTAGAACTTATATAACCATTTTGATGCGAGACTGAATTCAGTTGTAGCGGCACTTTAAAACAATACATGCTTCACAGTATTGACCACTAGTCCATGGTCGTCCATGTTTCCATCCACAGCTCTCCATGAAAATAAACGTTTGCACACCCCTGGTGTAAATATACAGCTTCCTCTTTAGCTTCATGTCTCTTCTATTTCCATCTTTACTCATTAGTCTGTTGACAGAGACAAAGTGTCTGCAGTAGACACATCAGACAGTTAGAGGGTGTGTGAGCTGATAGGATTTGAACGGTTTGGAGTGAGTTTAAGGATTAAAAAAACAGCCTTCATTTGAGTCTGGACTGCAGAGATAAGAGACAGACAGATTATAAAAGCACTTTTAGGAATTATTTGTAGATTTATAATAAATAAATTGAAAAAATGTAGAAAGGATGGGACACAGAGTTCACTTGCCGTTTTAGTTAAGATTTGGTCATGTCTGAGAATGTCATGGGTGAAGTTCAAATATTCCAAAAAATATGAATGAAATTAAAAACACATGTAGAATTAGACTTATACCCTAGCTATACACAGGTCTGTCCCATTTTTATTTTTTATCAGCTGTCTTTTTAACAGTTTTAATCATTCTTAAAAGGCACTGCACCCGATTTTTCTCTCTTAAAATGTAAAAAACTGAACTATTTCATTTGAAACACAGCAGTGCTCCAAAGTTATTCCCCACTTACCTTATGTATACTGAGCATCCTAATTATTCACTGCTATGAGCCTGAGAGTTGTGAAAATTGTTTAGAGAGAGCAGAGTAGAGTTCTGCCATGATGTTAAAGCTAACAGCAAGTAGCAAGCTAATGTGTACTTCCTGATTATTGGACAATAAAACGCTTTATAATTAAATGCAGACAGCACACAGCCGACTTATTTTGTCCCCAAGAGCTGCTTATGAAATATATCTGTAGACACATTTTGCTCAAATACTTGGAAATAAAATTGGGTACAGGGCCGTTTGATGTGCAATATTACAACTATAAGAATTTAATGAGAGACAGTTGGATTCCCAATGCTCTTTAATACAATGAAACAAAGGGGAGACACGCACCGTTGAAGACTTCGTTGAACTCTCCGGGCGGGGCGTGGAGGATGAAGTTGGCTGCTACACGTACCTGAAACACAGAGAATTATCATTACATATAAGGGGATGTTAATCATTTCACTGTTATCGGAATAGAACATTTTCAATCTTCCTATGTGCACAATCACCACCACCTATGAGTCAATATATGGATTATTTAGTTTGAAAAATGTGCAGAAGGTAAGCGCATTGTGCATTTGTGGACAAGGTAAATGTCTGTGCTTTTCTCTCAGCTGGATTTTTCTTAAGTGTAAAAGCCTGTAATGCAATCCCAAAGACTCAAATTATTTAGGTCATTTAGTGTCCTCTCTGAGGTGTCAGATGCCCTCCCTGTGTGTCAAAAGTCTTGTGACTGCTCCAAACCACATGCTTTTATGGACAAAGGATTGGCTGTTGACCTCTCCATTAAAAACACCCAAACTGATCACTTCAAAATCCAATTCAATACTCTAAATAAAATCCACAAATGTAAAACCTGATTATTTATACTGCATGATTTGGGTCACTCTGCTCCTAATGTTGTTGTAGCTCCTCTCTCCTCCTCTGGGGGCCGCTCTACTCCACCACTCCTGTACTTCCTGATTCTGGATGGTCACATGACACCTCCCCCTCACGGCTCACGACCAAATAAGGTCATGAAAATGTGCAGTGTGCAGGAGGATACACTTCCTCTCAGACGCTGGATGAAATTACAGAATATAGAGAATATCTTAAATAAAAAAATATTAAACTCAAAAACAGGTTTGCAAAAATATCTTCATCTTATGCTTAAAAAACAAAAGCAAGTTCACAGAAACTGAAGCAGCTATTTTAAGACAATATTATGGAAAGAAATTAATATATTGCCCAGATTATTTTAACTGTGGTTCAGAATTGCAGCGTTAAATCAAAATAAAAATATATTTAAAAAAGAAAAATGTTAAATGTATAATAAAAGCTAAATGGTAGAGAAAGCTGTATCACAATTTTTGTTATCAATACTGATACCGATACTAGTCTAGGGTGAAGAGATTTAAATACAAATGTACACAGAAGGGCTTCTTCTAATAGGCTCTAAAATTGTCATGTCTACAACTGGTGCCCAGGCTTGAAATATGCAATTATCAATACATCAAATAGGGATGGGAGGAGACACAATTTCTACAAGACATGTCAAGTTTCAGTCCACGAGATCAAGACCAGACTTTGATATAATTTGATTAATAAATTGGGCCATTCAGTTCATAAGTTTTGCTTCATTTAATGTTACTTTTTTTTCTCAGCTTCTTAAGAGAAATAACTCAAAGTGAAGTTAATCTCTTTTTCATCCAAGGCAAATGTAAATACGTAAGGAAAAAATTTCACAAGATAATTTTCCTCATGTGTGCACGATCTTGCGGCAGTATTGTCTTGCGAGCTCTTGCGGTACGAGATCTTGTTCCATTCCTACTAATTAGCATATATACAACAATACTGAAACCCGCATTTGCACAGAGTCAGTATCGATATATATAGATACTTCGATATCGATACTCCAACTACATACGTTAAAAATGACTTGGTTGTTTAAATTGTTCCTACTACTAATAAAAAGAGTTAAAGGTACCAATTTTTTCTTTTGTCATAATTCTAGTATAGATTTTGTAGTGTACTTTGCCTATTCTATGGAAAACTGAATGCTACGGTGGAATTTGTTGTTTAAATGTCCGATATTTTGACCTGGTTTATGATTCATATCTCTGTAATTACTTATCCACATGAAACAAAAACTGGCACAAAGTTCAACGTCTTCTCTGTCAGTATAAATAAACAAAAGTGAATTCATTTTTCACAGTAGCTTCAAAAGATGGCGCTGATATTGCGATAAAAATACGTGACTGTTAGTTGAAAAGACCTGAATCCATAAAATTAATATGCCAAATTTGTGGAGCCAATCTCGAACAAATAATTATAAAGTTAAAATGCGTGGATTATAAATTTGGAGATTTCAAAAACATTAAATCTCCCATAAATCCATAAAATTCAAGGCAATCTGTAACAATAAGAAAAACAGAAGATTTAACATCACAATTCAAATGCCTATAAAAAGGAACAAATTGCTGAAGTTTTATTTGTTTTTTACTTATTTGCATCAGATGAAAACCATGAGATCGACCCAGTTTCGCAGAGGATCAAACAGAGCTGCGGTTGTGGGTTCATTTCCCATTGGGGGCTCATTAAGCATGGCAGCATAAACAGACATTTGAAGAGAGATGGTAGAGAAAGACCGACCAAAAAAAAAAAAAAAGAGAATCCACAAATCTGATCATTTCTATTAGCGACAAGATTCAATGTTACCTTGTTCCAACCACACCACAACATCTACAAACTGGAGACATTTGACCTGTGCCTATCTACTAAAACCGAAGCGAAGATATCTACCAGAGCAGGGACTAGACAGGGGACAGAAGCAGGGGATTAAACCAGGAACTAAACCAGGAACTAAACCAGGTCTGAACCATCTTATCATACGCAAACACAACCATGACAAATGCAGGGAGAAGCGCGTCCAACGAGATTATGATAAATACTGGAACATACTTTGATTTGAACTGGTTTAGCCTAAAGTTCAGGCATTAAATACAATTTTTATTTTTTTTACACTGTACCTCAATTGTCAAATTAAAAAGGTAATGTATGGAGCACTCAGATGCCCTTATTGATTTCAGTGACTTCTAGGGAAATCGCAACTAAACTGGGATGCCATATTGACTTCTAGGGAAATCGCAACTAAACTGGGATGCCATATATTTAAAAGTAAAGTCATGACTATTTCAAACAATTACTTTATTAACGTTTCACAATAATTTTTTAAAAGCAACGATGGCTGTATTTCAGGCTTTGTTGGACAGAAGTTGAACTAGAACAATAATCAGTGTGTTTTGCATTTTATTAGTAATTGGAGAATAATATGATCTGAGGACACAAATGGGTCCTGTTTATGTAATATATATAAGTATAAGCCTACAGACCGACGCTGGGAATCACAGGGTCCCTCACGATTTGATAGAGGATACACGGCTCATAAAACGGCGATGCATGCGATAATCGATATACTACAAATGATACTCTGATATACTGCTGTTTTTAAGAACCAAATACATTTTAACACCACTAGTTCTTTGTTAAACCACTACTTGTGCAAAGTCAATATGAAATACATCAATTTTAAGCATGCAGTCAGTGATAAATACAATTGTAGTGTGGTCACAAAAAAAAAAAAAAAAATTGCTACAAGATACAAAAAATACCAAGGTAACGATACTGGATCACCAAAAGCAGCATCACGGATATCGATACTTCAATATTTTTGTACATTGCCATTACAGACGATTGAATTTTAAAATATATTAATATTTTAAGTTTTTCCTTTTTTCCAGCGGATTCCAGCTCCACTGAAGGAATGCGTCATGTCCGGACCTGTCCCAGAGGCAACTAAACTCAAAGAAAAACATGCCCTGCTGCTAAATCTTTAAACAGGGATTACCCAAAGTACTCCAGCTAGGTACTCCTGACGGGGATCCTGGCTTCTTACCAGGTCCACTGGTTTAACCAAGAGACACTGAAGGACGGGTCAAATGCAGAGGACCATTGCCTTATGGAGAAAATGATGTCTAAAAATTAGAGCTGAATGAAATGGAAATGGAAATGAAAAATGAAAAAATACAGCAGGGATTGTTCTGACTAGTATTGCAGTTTTAATTAGATCTGCAGTTTATTATTTCAAATCAGGATTCAGTTTACACACAGCTCATTTTAAAACAAGTCTGGGAGTGTTAACATTTGAGAGGAGACAGAAATTTGAACTGCGAAACCAAGAATCCCATGAATTTCAGAACATGTTTGTAGAGGTCTATACTACAGAGTTAGCAGCTTTTTGACCCCATAGAGTCACAGGGAGGGCATCTGACACACTCTGAGGTTTCACAACATGATCAGATTTGGATACAATTTCTAATCAAAGCATTTTACGGTTCTGTCTGAAATTTTGACCTCTCAGATTCCTTTTTTGGCTGTTGTTCTATCACTGCTCTCATTTTCATTTAACCTGCTAAAATTACATTACATATCCATACAAATGTTATTATATGGTGGTTTAGAATTTCTTAAAAAATAGGATACGGTAAGAATGAAAATGTAAATTGTAATCATCCAGTATTTTATTTTGTGACCATATCACCCAGCCCTATTTAAAACTAAAGCTTCCACAGAAATTTAACTCAGAAGATGTAACCCTTTTTCTTAGTGTTAAATGTAAAAACATGGTCAAAACAAACAAAATAATGCCCATTTTATCTGACGAGGCAGAAATTTAATCTGTAAAAGTAATAGATGACTACAACGAACAGTATGATCATTAGCTTCCTGTGTGTGGTTTGTGTGACAGTCATCAGGAAGTCTGTGCACGAACAACACTTTGAAAACCGCCAAAAATTTCAAAGGAGGGAAAGTAAGTTTCTCGATTATATCATTCAAAATATTTAAAAAATTGTAATTTAATCGATCAAAATGAGCAAATCACAAAGGCGTCTGATATGCAGATGTCCCCGTGGCTCCATGTGGTCTTGTTCTGATGAAAACTTAACAAGGCTGCAATGATGACAGGTCAGGTGACAGGTTATTTTGTAGCAGTTATAGTTTTAGTTTAGTTTGTGGAACCATTGCTATTGTACATTGAAATTTTAATAAGTACAAAAATGTGCAATTAAAGTGTATTGAGAAAATCCAAAATTATTTATTCTTTGACATTTTGTTGTAATGATGCTGCTGTCTCTGTGATAAAGTCTGTATAGCTCAGATAACGGCCATCAAAATATAAACTTTTCTTTTTTTAATAATTATGCTGATTCTTTGTTGCAGCTCTGGTCTCCATTGGGTCTTATCCTGTGTAAAAGTTGCTAACCCAGTAGTTTAGACCCCTACAAACATGTTCTCAAATCAGTCTTCTCTCAGATATTAATGCACTTGGACACGCTTAAAATATGCACTGTGAACTGAATCCTGATTGAACAC